CCACTGGAAAACACCCACGGATGATGCCAGCCAGCTTAGGTAGTTCCCTTTCGTAAACCTACGTAACGACTGGATTACACACGCGCGGTTTGGGTCATTCTTGCCCCCCCCCCCCCTTCTTCTTCGGACCGCTTTCCGCGCCCGCTTTGACGGGGGAAGACGCGGGCTCGCCCGGGCGTCGTTGCGGGAATGAGACGTTTGTCTGTCTTTGCTTCCCCTCTGCGCGCGCCTGAGCTGTGGGGGGCCCGGGCAGCGAAAGCGTATGGCGAGTGAGTGAGTGATGTGATGTGATCGGAGGATATATGGTTCAGGGACCGCCGGACTGAGCGAGGGGTCTTCGTGTCCGAGTGAAGCTTTTTTTGTGCTCTTCTCTTGTTTGGCGGGTTTTCCTCTCAACTTTGACGTTCTCGTCTGGAAGTTGTGTGTCCTTGTCAGAGGGGGGAATAAGGTAGGCGGACGAGGGAAAAAAAGGTTTGAGGTGATGGGAAGGGTTTGGGTATGATGGGATCAACTCGGATCACTTGGTGGCGTGATGGGGTGAGTGTGTGAGCGTGAGTTTGAAGATGCGTTTGTTTTTGGAATTTGGGAGAGATGAAGCCGAAGGGTCCTGCTGCGGGCTTGGGTTGGGAGTCTTTTTGGGGAGGGGCTTTGAGGTTGAGGTGAGTCTGTGGGATGGGATTGCGGATGAAGTCCCAGGAAGGTTGAGGGTGTTGGGGTTGGTGATACCTGCTGTGTGGTTTGGGTTTTGGGTGTTGGTGCCCCGGCTATGAGGCTCTGTCGCGGGTCCGAGGAAGTTCATTGCTTATTGATGAGCCAGGTTGCTGGGTTGGGGAATTGGGTTGAGAGGGTTGGGTTTCTGGGGATTGGGAGCTATGGGTGGGTATGCGTCGATCACGTTTGCTTGCTTTGCCGTTTCCTCTGAAATGTGAATGTTCTTGGCCAAGTCACTGTGAAGCTACGAAAAGTCGACAAGAGGATGGTTGATACCATTCAACGCAGATGCTGAGCGTTGGTATAAAAGATCGCGGTGTAATGGATTCGATAGTGAGCGGCGCAACACAGTCGTTCAAGCCGCCCTCTGCTATGTGGTTTCTTGACGACGAGAATGCATCGTATTGAGAGATGTTAGTGAACAGGGAGTGATTCATTGTTAGAATCCCCGCGGGGAAGGGTGGTTTGCTGATCGTCATCCTCGTCCCTCTGGTGGTATTCTTCACGAACACTCACTCAGCAGAGAATGGTTGCCGGATGGCTTCCGTTTCGTAGTCTAGTTTCGCGTTGAGCAACCAGATAGATCACGGGAAAGTGAACAGAGTCCCGTATCACGGCCAGTCGTTGATTGGACATCGTATGATTGCTGGCGTGTCGATTCTCCTTCTCATTATTAGCGTAGAAGCCGTGGTTTTATATGCTGGATGATAAGTCCATTAACCAAACCTAGGAGGAAGAGAGCATGATGCAACCAGCCAGTACTACATTGCGGCTTCTGTCACTTGACCTCCCAGAATTTGGCTGCTGTTATGCTCCTTGCTGGGATCTGCCGTTCGGCTGCTCCCACGGCTCGTGACGTCTTCTTATATAAAGCAGCGCCAGAGCCTGCAACAAGATACAATATGCAGACAGCGATAGTCTCGGTGTCTGGATTCGTCTTTCACGACGATTAACACTCACCTTTTTCGCTCGCAAGCACGGCCGTACGTGATCACCGGTCTCTTGTCTGCTCGGATCCTGTTTGCTGAGACTTTGAATGGGCATGTTCACCATGCATGACCATCCTTCCCCATCCCTGATATCTTATTCTCACAGAATGCGAGCGGAATGGAATTGTAGCAGCTGGATATCAGGTACTATTTATCCATCTCGGCCTTGGAACAGTGCGCAAGGCATCGATCGATCCTCAACCGACCATGGTGCGGTGCATCATCTTGCCAGGAAACCACAGCTCAGACCGGTATCGCAAGATGAGGAACACCTGTCAAGAATTCCCTGATGTTCTTTTGCTCGATTCAAGTTGCTCTTATAGTCTAAACTGGTAGTTGGCACTGGAAATCCAGCGAGCATTGGAAAGTCGGACGCGTCGCCGTGTTTCGTTTAAGCAAAGCCATCAGCATAAGTAGACTCAGTAACAAGTTCCAGTGTCCCAAAGATCTTAGACACTTTTGGGCCGACAGGGTTTGCGAATCTGGCGTTTGTTGACTTTGAGCCCATTCTCGTGGCCGCAAGTACTCGCCATTGTGTCTCCTCTGCTCGAGTTGTTTTCCCAACATAGGTTTGAACAGGCACGCTTACCGTCCATCGCCGTCTCTGTTGTGTTATTCCAACATATACCAGCGGCGTATCTGCGACGAAGCTACAGTTGGTGAACCGCAGCCTTGACCAAGTGCGAGTTTTCACGGCTACCATGCATCAAGTGATAACCAACCTGATCAATGGAGTGCCCGAAGACCTCGATCGTCTCTGGGGGTAAAAGCACTTACGATCGCGAAGGTTGAGCGCTTAAAATACCGGTCTAGCGAGCTTCCGCGACGATCGGAGACAGCGACGGGATCTTCAACGCAGAATCTCTCCATGGTCACATTCTTTCCCACCGATGATTGTTGCTTTTGAAAATTACAAGAGACTACATGCGTACTTAGCTTGCGGGACCGCGCTTCCTCTTGAGTAAGCCGTCTCATTGTCATATGCGTGGTCACTGTGTCGTATATAAATCTGCCCCTATGACCACTGGCACATCTTCCACAGCGATTCCGTCTGCGAGTGGCTGTGTTTGCGTTTTGGACAGACCGGTATCCATCAAAGATATTGCGATATTTTGTCGGAACGACTCTGGGACTTTTAGCTTCAGTGTTGTGTCCAGTTCGCACCCGCAGTTGTCTGTTGTTCCTAGTTTATTCGCGCGTATAACAAGACGCTCATGAACGACGATAGAGATGTGATGTGAATCGAACCGACACACCCACAGAGATATCCCGTGCGACATGCGCTGCGTTGTCCAGGTTGGTGCCAACAGCTTCCCAACATCAATGCGAGATGAGCTGCTTGTTCTGAGTTGCTGTGTTTTGGAAACATAACACAGCAATGTGCGGCAGTATTATATATACTCTTAGCTCAAGAACGATCCAATACCATTACCTCGATGGAAACTATCGTCTCATCCGATCACCGCAATGCATTTCAGCTCTCAATGTAGAATTGCCTTCTTTGAACAAAATGATAACCCAACATGAATAATGGCGGTGGACAGACCCAGAATCATCAGTTAACTAACACAGATGCCATCCAGGGCATCGACATCCCAGAGAAATCTCCAAGAGAGAAAGGAACCGTTCACACAGAGACGGCAACCAAGCCAAACCGTGTAATTAACTTCGGGAAAATGGTCCCCAGTTCAAGGCCGACGCAGAAGTTCCTTAAATCACCAAATTCCTCAGGGAAATTTTGAGTGTAAGATGTGGGCTGTCTCGACAGCCAGCATCGAACAGAGTTGTCGAAGTTTTCGATCACTCCTTTCCCAAAAGGGCCTATGGCATCGCTGTCTCACCGAATATGTCCAGTATCTGGAACCAACGGGACACAAGACAAGACACGAGCTGATCGAAGCCTTTTGTCTCCGGGGTAGTCATCGAGTCATAGTGAGCAGAGGAAGCTGGACGCCGGTGATATCTGTGAACTTGTGGACAACGTGCATGTGTACGGATCCAACTTACCCTCGAATCATACACCAGGGCCGAGGCTACTAATCATTTGGATTTCGCAGTATTGTCGATGCACTCAATCGTACGCTTTCTCGGAGTCCACAAAGTGACGAGTTCCTCCCAGATGTCCTTCGACTTCTAGTTTTATACCATTGCCCCCGGATACGATCTCACAAGAGAACCATGCTTTAACATACAACAACCAATACCATCCTACAATGGAACGAAAACATTGCTAGCATCGGGTCTTCCCTTGACGAGTCTCGGCGCTGTCCCGGAGTTAAATACCCCGGAGGAAGTGCAGCTACAGCATTTGTCTTACACGCATTGATTGCTGATTCGATGGTGTCAATACCTGTTTTGACGAAGGAAGCTTCTGTCATTCCCTGGGTTCCCAACTCGGGCGACATGAACCACGAGCCTATGGCATCACATGACCAGTGGATTGATCCAAGTCATCGGACTCGTTTCCGGTTGATTCATCAAACTACCGTGAGCAGACGAAGCCGGACGGGGACGCTAGTGATGGAAGCTAGACAGACATATGTGAGGTTTCCTCATTTCGTTCCGATTCACCTTGAGTCGGCCTCGTCGTCATCGTAGCCTGCCTGGAGAAAGCACCTTGATGAGGGTCACCATATCGACGCAGCCATTTCCCATCAGGGGTCCTCTCAACCGCCACCGACCTGACCCTATTTTAACCTTCCTGGCCTTGCTGACAGTCTCATTTCGGATACTATGCCTGACAGTCGTCCCTCAAACAGCTGTGCTGGGTAGACTTCATCTGTCACACGCGGAGTACACTTTTCAATATCACAAACCCACACTCCACGCAGTCTAGCCAAATCATTGCAAGTATCGGGCCATCTCTCGATTTCATGAATCATCTAATCCTACACACAGCCCATCCGCATCTAGCATCCGCGTATCCCTCCCACTCTGTCTCCTCGCTTTCACCCCTCCAAACCGAGTAGGTATCTGTGTCCCTCCCTTGAAGATATTAACATGGCAATTACCGCCACCAATCCCCTCCTGTCCCCCAAAACGCCGAGCCATAAGAAGAAGATCCCGCACTCCCAGGCGGAGGCAAAAACAAACAACGAAGAAGAAAATTCAAGTCTCCCGCTGGGGAGCCACGGTGTTGAGATGACCATACTCAGTCATGAACTGATACGGCCAGCCCTCCTTGTAGTGGTCGCAAGCCCCGGGTGGTCCGTCGCAGAAGGCGCACTGAGCCGGGGTGGGTCCGGACACCGGGGCTTGCGCGGGCGTGAAGCATCCGTGGTTCTGCGCAAACGATGCGTTCTAGGCGTGTTTGCTCTGCGGAACGATGGCCTTGTCGATCAGGAGCCCGCCTCTAGCCATGACGTCCTTCTCGTCGCCGAACCGGCCCTCGAACTCGCGCTGCTCGGTCTGGTGCCGCTCCAGGCTCTCGCGGCACTCGGCGGGGAGCAGGGCCTTGAGGTCGTCGCCGATGGCGAGGATGCCGTTGAAGGGCTTGAGGAAGTCGGGGACGTCGGCGGGGCGCTTGCCGGCGCTCTGGATGCCGGCGCGGGGCGTCTCGTATACTATGTCGACGACGTTGAAGTTGCGCTGGATCGCGGGCGTGACGGCGGGGAAGGACGAGTTGGTGTCTGCGGCCTTGTCGGGGTCGACCCGCTCGACCCGTGCGCGGGTGGGTTGGGTGTTGACTGGTTGTTGCATGATGTTTGTGTGGATGTCGTAGGCTCCCTTCTGGAGGTTGAGCATGCGGATGGCGTTGAGGCGGGAGTTGAACTCGCTGCATCTTGTCAGAATCTCCCTTCCTGTCATCCTTGTTTTGAACTCACCTCGCTGCACGTGCGTGCTCCAACTGCCAGTTGGTATCATTGACATTCACCCGCTTCTTCTTCACCTCCGTCAACCCAGCCAGCGGATCCGATGCCGCTGGCGTCTGATTCGTATGGTACACCGCACTTGCACCGAACCACGCGACGTACTGATTCGAGTTATACGGCTGAGAGGGATCGAACACATCGCTGGGGTCCGCGATCTCGCCCTCCACAACACCCGCCGCGCGCTGGTCCGCAACACGGTAGTCATCGATAATGTTCCGTCCGCCGACAACGATACGGGCGCCAAACTCCCTGAACACAGACCGCGCAGTGACGATACCAATGGCACGGCCCTTGTATGAGTGCGGCATGATGTTGCGCTCAATCATGTCCATCTTCTCCTCGTCGCTGACAATGATCTTGTACAGCTTGGGGTGTTTGTTGAAGAACAGGTAACTGTCCCTGAAACCCACGCAACGCGCCGGCTCCGTCGACAACATGTACTGCCTCTCTCCGCGGTCCTTCACGGTAAACGTACGGCATCGGTACTGCCGGCCGCCGAGGAGGTTGCCATTCTTGTCGACCTTTGTCTCGCCCTCTGGGTCCTCGGGGAGGACGCACTCGTCGTCCACGATATCGACCTCTGTACCCTCCTTGTCGATGGTCTGCTTCAGCTTCGGCGGCGCCTGACCGGGCTGTGGTCTGCGGCCACCCCTGCCGCGCCAGCCACCGCGACCTCTGCGGCGCGGCGTGTCGGCCTCGGAGGCAGGTACGGTGATCATGTTGTCCCAGCCAGGGGGCTTGTTCTTGGGTGGTCTTCCGAGTCGCTTGCGGCGGATGACGGGTTCGGAGGGGGGCGTGGGTTCTTTGGCCGAGGGCTCGGAGTCCTCTCCGTCGTCATTAGCGGGCTCATCTTCTCCGTCTTCGTCGGCCGCATCCTCCTCGCCGGACTCATCGGCCTTCGGCTCCTCCATGTCTTCGTCCTCGTCGTCTTCGGGGGGTGCGTCGACGTCAGGCTCGGATTCGACAGCCTCGGGAACGGGCTCGTCATCGTCGATGCCCTCGAAGGCCCTGGGTGTGCTTTCTGAATGGACATGAACGTTAGTACCGAGGTCCTGTAGCGACTGAAATAGTCGCGGATGGAGCTGTAGAAGTGGCTTAGGAAGGAGGGGTGGGTATTGAAGGGTGATCTTTAAGGGCGCAACTTGGAGGAAAACTGAACAACGCGTTGAGTGAACAAAAGAGAGTCGGCAGTCATAGGCTGCAGTTCAATGATGCACTCGTGGCGACCGACGAGTGCAAGGACAAAGGTGGTGATCGCAAGCGAGGAGGAAGCTTGTACGTACGAAGGGCTGCAGAAGCTCGCTTGGCTGCGGCTCTGCCCGATCTAGACCGTCGTCCGCCCATTCTGAAGGCGACTCGATTCGGAAGGTATGCGACTGGTGGCGAGTGGTGAGCGACTCTTTCAATGCAGGCCGCTGGCGTCTAGGGTGCGAGGCTGAACGGTTGAAAGCGCAGGTCGAGATGGAGTCGCGACGCGAGACGAGGCTCCCGGGAAAAAATAATTGGGGTCAGCGTAGGCGCGATATGATTGGCCCGGTTTTCTTACCGTGCAACCCAATTATGCACTGTATCAAAAACACGGTGATGGCAACCCACCTTCATCATCGATCAGCGAAGTGAATATTTCATTGCCCCGAAAGTGTTCTAGGCACCTCACTCTCATGATCTTTCATAACATAGCACGGGTAATGAACGAGATTCATGCGCGGGGCTCAGCCGCCCCAATCAGATAATTCTGGTATCTCTATTATGTCTCCTGATCCAGTTCAAGGAGCAGTCTTGGTAATGCTTCTCGATTACCTATGCGGAAGAACGTCCTTGCCCCCAGTAAAAAGAAAAAAAAAAGCCACCATAAGCTGTAAAGCAAGCAAAAATAGGATGTCTGTTCGTTATCGACCTCGTTGCCCTATTATTTCAAGAGCCGCGAGAATGTGCCATTCCAGGCAGCATAAATCGATCCGCGCCCATGATGGCTGGGCAAAGGGAAACCACCCCCAAGCGGCCCGAGCAATTCCAAGTTGAGCTTTGTAACACCCCAGGCGTAGTAGCAAGATATGAAATCAAAAACTTTCCCACTGCTGTCCGAATGGCTTCTGGATCGTGGTCCTCGAGCCTTCCACGTCTTGATGCGATCCCCTAGGCACTCTCATCACAATAGTGGCCGAGAGACGAATTGGATCACTTTCCGGTGACCTTCTAGTTCACCGGGAGAGCGTCGATAGCCTTCTGGTCGATGCCCCACTCCTTGTCGATAAGGCTCTCGCGGGCCTGGTACAGGTATTTGAATGCCGTACGGATAGTGCCGTCACTGACACCAGCAGTACCGGCAATCTGTTTCGACGTCTTGGGTTCGCCGAGGAGATGGGAAGCCATGTAGATACAGGCTGCTGCAACGGACAAAGGAGATCGTCCAGCCAGCTCCGAAACTGTCGACGTCTTCCGGGCAAGCGCACGGGAGATGTTTTCCACCTTCTGTGCATTGCGGAAGTTGAGGTTGGACGTGAATCTGGTGCAGAGGTCCTCGGCGCTGGTAGAAGCACTAGCCTTGTAACCGTCGAGATTCGACACAGATCCGGCGCCGCTGGGGTTCTCTTCTTTGACTTTCTGGAGGAAGCTTTCAAGCTGTTTGAAGACTCTGCCAATCTCCTTCTTGGAAACGTGGGTAACTACAGAGAAGACGTGGTGTCAGCTGATGTCCGTCGTTGGGGGTGCTGCAAGACGCGTATGAGAAGCCAAACTGGGCCAGGTGGTTGACACGTCTCAATCACCCGACCACTCCGCGAGTCACACATTTCTCTGAACGCGGCTGGTTGCTGTAGGCAAGTCTTCGCACCAAGAACCATCCATGGCGTACAAATGCACATTACTCTTGAGCAGTCGCGCTAAGCCGTGGTCTCGAGAGAGAGGTACCGGCGAAGTTCTACAGCAACCGAGAAGTGTGACGCGTGGAGGGGGGGGGGGGGGGGGGGGGGGGGGGGTGAAGGACCAAATGGCCCAAATGTGGCTTAAAAAATTTAAAA